CGTCTGATCTCCTCTTTTTTCACCGGTCCACTTGATTCGATAAAACCGTCGTCCAAAGCCAGGGCGTTAAGCTCCATTCCTCCTCCACGTTCTCTCCGCGGTCAGCTAACACGTCAACGTTTGGCAACTTGCCAACTCGGCGCTATACGTGTCCATTTTGATTAGTACGTGGACGTTATTGGGTGGTCGTGGGGAAGTGTTGAGCGGTTGCTCGTTTTTGGGTTCCCGTGAAAGCTCTGCCAATGCGACTGCCACGTTGGTGCGTGTGTTTGGCGTTGCTCACTTTGCTGTGATATTCGTGCTTTTGGGAGTTCGCAACGTGGAGGCCAACTGCGTGTGGTCGCTTGGGCGCTCGTTCTGCGTGTCCCATCGTGCAGCGTTGCAGCACTGCTGCAGTTCGTCGTTTGTTACTGTAGTTCCAGCACTCGGCTTTTCAGGGGGGTTCGCCGAGGCGGAGGATGTTGGCTCCGGACGCAGACGAGGCGATGGAGGAGCCCTCCGAGGACACCGATTTCGATCCGTGTAACGCCAGCGAACTGACCGATGAATTCAGCGATCAAGTGACCACTTCTTTGGAAGGTACTTTTCTGGTTTGTCCGAACATGCATTTTTAGTTTTCCTTCAACATTCATTAAAGACAGCATACGAAAGTCTGCGTGTATGTGTATGTGCGTATGTGTGTATGTGTATGTCTGTGAATGTATGTGACAAATACACCATGTGTATGTGCCTAGTTATAAAACGTGTACTACTTTTTTTTCATTTATGGTTTTTTGGTGACTTTTGCTGAGCCATTGTCATGTCAAGTATAATTTCATGGGAATTATTTGCGAGTAAAATATGCATATTTCGCTATTGATGCTTTGTCACTTACGCCGTGGTTTCTTTCCGATGCAGTCCTTTCCGAAAAAAGTCATCCTGCTAGAAGACCCTGTCCTCGTGGGCTCACCCGCGCATGCTTGGCCTGTTTCGTCGCTAAACTAATTAAGGGTTGAAGAGAAAATATGAAGAAGGGAAGAAAACGAAGAAAAAGCAAAGTAAGATGGGGAAAGGGGACTAAGGAAGTATTTGGTAAAAAATGTTTCGGACCATTAAGTCGTACAAATTTCTTACCGTTACCACAATTGGACCTCGTCAGTACGACGATTGTTGTAACAAAATAAGTTTCAACCAAATGTGATTGGTGCAACAGGAGCCTAGCAATTTTGGTTTTATCCCGGAACGGCTTCTCCTCGCCGATCCCTCTAGTCGCATTTCTGAACTTCTTGTATTCCCATCATTCCGGCACAGTTTGAGCACACTGAATGCGCCGTCATTCTCTCTATTCTCTGCCCATTCTCTCTTTCTTTCGCATATCCGTCTTGCAAATCTGTCTTGCAGTCACATGACTGTTTAGTACTTGACGGGTAGGAGGCTGTACTGGTGATTTCTGTTCCGACCAGCATGCAA